AGTAACTGTTCACAATGCAGAAGTACCCACAGAACTTCAGTCAGGTAAAGGATGATAAATTAAATAAATTATTGTTCACGTTTCTAAACCTTAAGTGCAGGTTATGTAGGGATACAAAATACAGAATATACCTAAATCTTATGTGTTTATTTTATACAGTTTACAAGACATTGTACACTAAATCTGAATAAACAGTCTTAAAGCCATACTAATTTGAGTATAATCATTTCAGAGGATCTGCACTTGTAGCAAGTGATTCTCATAGTATCCCATACAGTTGTTGAGAGCAGTGTTCATAGGATAAAGAGGAAACTGGAGAAGGTCAAAGGACTGTTTTAAGATCTTTGGGATGGCATCAGCCTCTACTATATGTTCACACTGAAGTGAGAAAAAATACCCACTTATGTAGTGTTATATACATCAATCTCAAGTTTATTTCAAGCATCTATGTGTATAAATGACAAACCTGGGATTCAAGAATGAATGGGGACCAAGTATACAAGTGACTCTTCAGTGAAGATTTTAGTGATTTTACACTCTCATTTCCCCTATCACATTACCATGACTGCACACTGCTTCTCACTTTAATACATTAGTATCTGCCACACTCAAAAAGCATTCAACTTTAGAAACCTCTCCGTTAACATGTCTGTCATGCAATTCTTCATAGATTGGTAGATGTATGCCTGGAAGTGTAGCCATATACTCCAACACAAGTAATTTCTAGTTTTACTAGCTGCTAGTTAAGCTAGGTTGGTTGAGATTTTAGGCTGCACACTTCATGGGAATCCAAAAGCAAAGAGAAGACCTAACACTGGGTGTACTTTGTCTCCTCATATCTGCAGCAGAAACTCATGCGTGTCTGACACGAACCAACAACATGCAGGCTTACCACAATAAGGGACCTGAAAGAGCCTTTGGTTAGCAGCAAAAAACACTCGTCAATGGACAAGAGTATATGAATTTTACTCTACGTGCTGCAAAACATTGGTTGCAGCACAAATACAAAAAACACATTGCAATCAATGCACATCAATATGTCTAGTTTCAGAAGAGATCTGCTCCTTCAGGCCTTGCCAGGCAAAACTGCAAACTGTGTGGAGGGGTTGTTTGTTACAACAAACTTGACATATTTGAAAATAAATAACCCAGAAGTGCAGGAAGACTGGGCCGTGGTACTCTCGTTCTGCATTCATGTGGAAGCGGCTGTCACTACTGCAGCGCTCTTGTGTCCCACACCCGCTGCAGCCACAACAACAGCAGCTGCTGCAGGGGACGGCGCCAACTGTTTGCACAGATCGGGTACCACAGGTGCCATAAGTCGTGGGGCAGCGGCGGCTGTGATGCGAGGGTCGTGGTGCAGCAGCGAGAAGCAGGATGCACACACCCGCACAGGCTCGTACAACTGCTCGCGGGGCACAGGGAGTGCGTTCTCTGAGCAGTCGGCGCAGAACACTTTGCCGCAGTTCCTGCAGACCAGGAAGCACAAGCAGGGTGTGCGATGAGTGTTGTCAGCTTGACGAAGCAAGTGCACAGCTGAAAGACTCTAGTGGAAGTAGAGCCAATACTACCTGTCTCATAGCCTCTGGGGGCAGTGAAGAGTTTTTCCTTGCAAATGGAATCATGTTTAGTAATACTACAGGCGATTTCAATCGAGTATCAATGATATATAATTTGTTTGAATACTATTCACCGATTCCACTTGTAGCAAAAATTGTGCAACAAACTTGAGCAATTTAACACGTTGATATTTGTGAAATTAAAACAAAAATAAATAATTTGTCACATCAGTGAAAGTATCCTGCTACCAAACAAATTATTATTTCCAAATCACAGGTAACATAAGGTGATTTTACGCAAATTTTGTCTGGACTCAATGGAAAAAAGTGTCAACTCTGGACTCAGCTGTTGATTAGTGAGAACTCAACTGATACTTGTCACCAAACTTCTTATTATCAAACAAAACATTTATACTATGTTAGAAGATAAAAATTTCAGTGAAAAATGGTGATTAACTTTACTTAATTTTGAACAAGTATTCAATCACGATTCCCATTTTGTAAGAGGCTAGGTAAGACAGTGCTTCTGATCTGATGGAAACACAATTTGAGATTGTGCATGACAAACTACATATCCATTCTCGTATCTTCAAACATGTTTTTGGTCTGAAGTCATCAGAATACTTCCTCTCTTGAAAGATCTAATCTATATATACGTGATCTAATACTTCAATAAATTGAAACTGGTTGGAATTAAATGACCAATTTCTCAACAGATTTTAATGTTCCCTGTCCGCTCAGTACAGGTAGTGGAGGCCCTAGCAAAACGGCCCTCTCCAACTTAGGAAAGGCATCAAGAAAATAGTGGAAAATATATTGAGGAACTATTTAATATCCATCATGGTTACAAGAAGGTAACCTTTTACAAGCCTGAGAATCATTTCAGAACATAATAGATATTGTAAATAATTGTTTTTTAATATCTACAACTACTAGCAGCACCACAAAGCCATCATCGCGTCAAACAAAGAAACACTGGCTCTTCTGTGCACTCCACTGCATCTGGGCACGCTTTTCAAATCGCCCTAAACGGCACTAATTTGCAGTTATCGGAACAGCTCAAAGAGACTGGTTTTCTGTAACCACTGTCTGATTAAGGGCAAGGAAGGCTGGTCACCTGCAATGGTGTCTTCGCCGACCAAGCCAAAATTCTGTTCCACAGCCCATGCATCTCGCAGCAGCGTGGTCAGGCACCCACAGGGTGGGCCCCCCCCCGCCAGCTTCACGCTCCTCCAGTGCCTCCCAGCTCACATCTGACGTAGGAAGAGACTCCCCAGCGGAAGGCTGCTCTCCACTACACACCGACTCTGCCAACGAACCCTGCACACACCAAACAATTTCGTAAAACACACATTTTTTTTTAGTTTTCACAAAGTTTTTACAATCTCAATATTATGTAATGTGCTCCAAAGTAACAATCAATGCAAACTTAATACAATATCATTCAAATATCAGCAACATTAAATTAAAAATCTAACACAAAAGATATTATTTTGAGCTTTAATACTTTGAAATGTATTATTTGTGACAATTGTTTGGTACAACATACAAACCAAATCACCACATCACCTGGGCTTGGACTAAAAGATAATGAAGTCTTCTGTCCTTCAATTCCATCCAAAGCACTCAGAACACAACAATCTGCTTAATAAACATAACTAATATAAATATTTTATTGGGTATCTACCACATCTCCTACTTTTACTTCCTTGCATTTCTACTATAATCTAATTTTTACGACAACCGATGAATTTAAACTGCCAATCACTTGAACCTGCACTTATAATGGATGAGCCCCACCGAAATGATATCAAACAAAACTCTTTGCAAACATCAAAAACTAAATCATCAAAACAATTACTGTAATAAAGGCACGACTCACCGCATCATCAGGTCGTTCTCCTCCACCATGATTGCAGTGATGGCAAACTTGCTGGACCAGTGCTAAGCGTGTGGTGTGCAACTCTCTCTGCAAGGCTTCCTCACGTGCCTAACACAAGGACAGTGGAACACATTTAAGAAGTCATGAAGTTTGTCTTTTCAAGAAGACAAATTGACAAGAAAAAAACAATTAGGGAAAGAGCAATATTTAAAGACTTGTCTTCTTCACTTATGCTGATAAGAAAAACTCAGTCTAGAACATGGATCACACAGATAGATCAAAATAATATTATAATTTATTTTTAAAGCTGAAACACACTTAAATGCTTATCTCAGTACTAAATGATATGCGCTGTCCATTAACATTCCATACATTTTGTTCTTTTAATTATATTTTATTACGTTATGATATGAGTTTTGATATTTTGGATAACACTTCATTAAAAATGTCAATGAAAGTTTCTTCTAACAAATTTTCACATAATTCTTCAATTACAATAATATTTAATATTTGTAATAAATTAAAAATGTTGGGATCTACATATTTTTTTAAAAATAAGTTAAAATATTTGAAAAGAAAACTGTTAAATAATGTTTAAAGTCACACTATAATCTTTGCTATGACATTTTTTTCATAATGCATTAAATTTTTTCCAGCATATACACTTACTCTATGTTCTGCAAGAATTTGCCTCAAACGTAACTGCACATCCGACCGTAGAGGGGCCAACCCATCAAGGTCTAAGCCAGTCATATTGCTTCCAATTCTCATAGAATCACAAGGACCTGGAGGTGTTGTTGCAGTGGTGCTTGGTGTTCGGAGGTACGGAGGGGGAGTGGAATAGCGTGAATCGGAGCTTCCACTTTGGGCTCCTATTCCTCTTATCACCGGCTCTTCCACTTCAGGAGGTGGAATAGTTGATGGAACCAGAGTGTCTGTAGAGCTGTCGCCAGCAACTGTAATGTCTGCCCTGGTTGTTAGACTCTCCTCATCGTGGTCCTCATCAGACATCATTCCGTCAGAAGAAGCAGAGGACCGGGGTGAAACATCTCCAGCAGCTGGTTCCGTGAGGGCCAGTCCTTGTAACACACTACAAGCACACGTGATTCTTATAATTAAAAGAGTTATTTTTGTTGTTTAATGTTGGTCTAATATACACATATAAGTTGCATTAACAGTAAGTCATTACACTAATCTGGTAACTTTTACAATTTTTTGAAGACTGCCTTATAAAACTTTTATATGTTTCAGGGACTTAGAACTTCAATTATGACATAATAATAGCTAACAGATGACAAATTTTTGAAGAATTACTAGTTAGCAACAAACATTAAATTTTAAAAGAACTAAAATGTACAAGTACTAGGAAATTAATGCAAGATTGACATTATGATCTTTGTTATATTGTTCGTAACAATAAACCAAAATATTATACATTTTGTAGGCAAAAAGGAGCGACTCACATGAAAACATTAGGAGTGTACAATTTTTAATATAATTTTATAGTAACATAATATGAACAATGAATGCATTGAAATTTATTTAAACATGTATCTAGAAAACATGATTTTCCAATGGGGGTTTGCGTTAGAACTGTTTGCTCAGCACATTCTTATCTTCCCATTACTAAGTCTTAAGCCCCTCATGATTAATGATTCTGGTATTTCAAACTCAGACTTAAAATTCTTGCAAACTAGCCGGTATCAGGATTAAAAAAAGTCATTGTGGTTTGGCATCACGCAGTAGAGCCCAGAAGTTTGGCACAATGCCTTTTCTCTTTTTGCTGCTTTTTCATGACTTTTGACAATACAAATCACTTATCATTTGCGCTTCTGATCTTGTTTTAGTGGATTTTCATTTTGCCCTTTTTCTTTTCATCTTACTTTTGCCTTTTATGTCATTATTTTGCTTTTCTCCTGGCAGAGATTTCGATTAAGGTCAATATATACCTGCAAGCCTAGGTAACATGAAGGCAGGGTTGTATTTTGTCTTTCTGTGGAAGCAGAGACTAAGATAAAAAATTATTTTTGCTTCCCCCCCCCCATTGATCAGGTTTTTGTACTACATTTCCCCATTGATGATTAGGTTTTAATTGCTCACGAACTGCAAGATATACACTTCTCAGTGCTGGCAATTACACATGTGCAAAGAACAAAAAATATAATTGTTTTCACTCATGCCATTTCAAGATTCAAAAGGGAGTGCACACTATCATTTTGAACAGACCGCATCGTGAATGAAACAAATCTGTAGCCATTCCCATCAAGATTACAAAGAGAAGATTGTTTCCTTACATGTTAAGAGCTAATGTAAATTTTAGAGTTGGTATAAAAATGTGAAACATTTTAATTATTAATTTTTTACAATAATTCCTTAAGAATGAGATTTTTCATGTCTTTTTGTACTTCACCTTTAGCTTTTTTCATGCCTATTTTAGTAACAATAAAATGCCTTTTTGCCCGCATATTTTAGGTAAAATAAATGCCTGAACTTTTGAGCTCTCGTTATGAGACACTGAGGTGATTTGTGCCAATAGTATAAATACTCAATTAGATGAAATGAAGTTACCTTTTTAAGCAATGACATGGAGAAAAAACACAACAAAAATTTTTTTCACTAACACATTTTTTTTCCCTCACCTGTCCAGAGCCAGGCTGGGGTCAGAGCAGCGCCTCTGTTGGGGTGGAGGAAGGTCTACAAGCAAATTGTCGCAGGAGCGGGTCTTCCCAAGAACTCCGGCAGGAGGAACCGGCGGTGCCACTGTGAGAGTGGCTTGTGGGGACTGAGGGGGCCCCGGCGCTGGAGCCGGGGCAAGACTAGGCGGAGGGGCTTCTCCAAGGCCCAGGTACACGTCGCTCCAGAGGATCAGATCTCGCACATGGCACGCGGGCCACAGCACCTGCAACCGCAGCCACATTCTAACACACAGTTCACCTTCTTCCCAGGATTGAACACAGAGCTCCAGGTCCTTCCCTTGACCTAATGACCTAAAAATTCTTTGAAAAATTACATAAACAAATTTTTAATTATGTTTAGGTATTGAATGACTTTTACGATTTTAAACAAAATTTATTTATAAAAATGAAATTGAATATGAAGTCATTATTTTAGGAGGAAATGCAATCCTTGGGGCCGATTTTCCGACTATCAATATTGAAAGGTTGAAGAAGTCATCAAAGATCCATGTAATAGTAAAAGCCACCAATTGTCACATTACAGGGAATACAAAGAGTTACGCAACACAATATCAAATGAGACAGTGCTTGCAGGAGAAATTATGAACAAAATATGGCCAAGGGCAAGCATATGTACTTTTACACCTACAAACACATTTCTTTCAAAGTTTCTACCCTACATACCCTCTGGAAAGAGGATGGAGAAAATTGCTTCAGATCCTAACGATGTCACTGAGGTCTTTACAGAAAGTTTTCAAAACTTCTACACATTGGAACCAAAAATTTCTCTGCTATCTATATCCTTACCTCCTGAGGACACATTGGAAGACCTTGACTTACATGTTGCAGATGTTTACAACATCCTCATATCTCAAGATCATAACTCTAGTGCTGGTCCAGATGGAATCCCACCCCTTGTACTGAAAGAATGCACACAAGAACTTGCTCCAGATCTATGTAAAATTTTCTTCAATTCCTTTGACTCCGGAGTACAGACAATGAATTGGGAAACCGTTAATTATACCAGTTTTCAAGAAAGATACTCGTAGTAAGCTAGATCCTGCTAACTACAGGCCCATTAGCATGACCAGCTCGATATGCAAGGTGTTCAAGTGGATTCTGGCGGACAAGATATTCGACTTTACTTTGAGAACTGAACATATACCACTGCACAGCTTCATACCAGGGAGATTTATAATTACAATCTTCACTGCAAGACTGGACAATGGATCTAGATAACGGCAACCCTACAGATATCATCTACCTGGACTTCTCCAAAGCTTTCAATAAGGTACTGAATGTTGCTTCACAAACTTGCTCACTTTGGCATAATAGGAATGCTTTAGCCTTGGAATGCAGGAAATACAGGATCATTGTTTTTGAGAATTGGAGAAAATAAGTCCTCACTGAAGAGAATCAACAGTGGAGTTCCCCAGGGCTTGGTATTGGGACTGATCTTATTAACTCTGAATACCAGCAACGTGTTGAACTGGATGGTCCCCAATGTCAAGATAAATGCAATGACACCAAATTCTATGCTAACCTTCTGGTGAATCATCACCTTCAAGAGAACTTTAATAGGGTTTATAAGTGGTCAAGAGTTTCGATGTTATCCCTGTAAACGTAAACAAAATGTACGGTCATATTGGAAGATCTAAAGCGAAATTACCAAATAGACAGAAGGAACTTGTCTGAAGTCAAGGTCATGAAGGATCTAGCAATTATGATCTCTAAGGACCTCAAATAGGGAAAACCATGCGAGTAACATTGCAAAAAAAAAGGCTAACAGGGCTACATTTACACTGCATAAAGCCTTTAACACAATAAGACGCAATGTATTTACCTCACTTTATAGAACCTACACCTCTCCCAATAGTTGAATTTGGCACGCGATTTGGAATCCTTACTGCCTCAAACACACAAATCTGCTGAAAATGTACAAAGGAGAGCCACATGTATCCCTACATACCCGAAGAACATGGTATATGATCAACAACTGACAAGAATCGGGCTTCTGACTCTTGCTGCTAGGAGACAACGCGGTGACAAGTTTGAAACATTCAAGATCTTGCAGGGCATTTCAACTCCAACCTTAGTAGCATTTCTCAGAGCACTGAAAATCTACTATTATGAGGTCAAAGTATAAAGCTTGTTAAATGTAGTCATAAACTAATGCAGTACAAAAACTTCATAGGTAACCTAGTTGTCAACCCCTGGAACATACTACAAACAGAACGTGGTGACGGTATCTAGTCTTCAGATGCTCAAAAGAGCTTATGATGGTCTCTTCAAGGAAGGCCATGGACTTCATTGATGTGTGGACTGTTCTCCTTTTCAAGAATTGTGTCAATTATTGTGATATTCTGTGATATTTGTATTTACAAGTGCTATGAAACATTGTGATATGTTAAAGATAATTAATTATATTAGTGCCAATTCGAGCCACATCAGATTGAACTGTTGTCTATATATTACCTTAAATTTAAAAAATAAATAAAACAATTTTGAGAGATTGAAAAACAGAGTCCACTGCAGTAATGAATTTCATCATGACCTGATGATACAATAGATATTTATTTTAGGTTGTCATTGTAAATTCATGAAATGTTGACTAACAAAAAGCATGAAAAGAAACAAAATGTGTTAAAATGACAAAAATGAAGAGGTCCAGAAAATTAACAACGAATTGAAAAATGGCAAAAAATGACACAATAACTATTAATTTCTATCACCTGTATGTCATGATAAACATTGATATATATGTTAGCTCTGTCTAGATTGCATCAATGAAAAGATGCCGTGTCATCAGAATACAAGCCCTGCTGATGACTATTTTTGCTAGGAGACTAATTTTTGCACTTAGACTAATAAGAGGTAATTTTTTAAAATTTACCTGACTGACTTTAGACTAGTTCATCAATAGAATGATATACACACAACAGAACCATTATGACAATAAGAACAGAAAATTCCAATCTCAGATGTTTATTGGTAAGGTGACAAGAAGATATTGTTAGAATAAACATTGAAAAGCAAGCTAAAATATGACAATTTCAAAAGCAAAAGTTAAAATAGATAAATCAATAAATTACTCACCTGTTCATGAGGTGTGTACAAATGATTCCTAAAAGCATGTGGTGCTGAGCGTAAGAATGCCCAGACACTGAATGTACGTTCATGTACCCTCAAGTGGGCTCTTTCTCTTGCTGAGTTACACAGGAAAGTGCCAAACAGACGAGAGTATGTATGGCGTGCCAGTCTTACAAGGAATGCAGGGGCAAACTCAAATGCAGTTGGAAACTGCAATGCTACTTGATGTACACAATCTAACCACTGCAGAAACACAGGGCAACGTTCATTGGGGTCATCAGCACCAACCGACTGTCCGCCACATCGATCACCAAATTTATGCCCAAACGACAACCACTCTCTTTCCACTAGAACCTCAAAACCCTGTGCAAAACCAAAAGCAAATTAAAAATGTAACATAGATCTAGCAAATAATACAAACATACCATTTTTCATAGATTTCTAAACTTACAAACTTTCAAAATAAATCCAATATAGTCTTCATATGCACAAGCACACCTACAGTCCTGTCCAAATTATTACACTACAACACTGACTCATGACTACAACTGTTTTTCAACATTCTACAACTGTTTTTCAAATATTGCTTTGTACTAGTCTAATGCATTTAGTACTTGCACCAGACTGTCACTATAACTTGTAACAAGAAAGACAAGGGAAGTTACAATGTTGGAAGTTGTCATTACTGCCCTGACAGCCTGTTTGCCTAGTGTTCAATGCCTGCCTACGTGTCAGCTACTCAGTCAAACTTGAACTCTTTTCGAGTTAACACTGGTTTTAGAATTGTGAATGTCTTAAGTGTAAATGTATAAAAAATGTGAAAAATATGCCTAAAAGGCTTAAATTCCTCATCAAGAACTTTTTTTTTGTAATCAGATATTTTAAAAAACTGCAATTGCATTGCTTTTGGTCTAATAGTTTGGACAGGACTGCATATTTGGCCAAGTACCCAGAGCAGCCTCAACACACAAAGTTTGCTCACCTCAATGGTGCGGTAGTGTGGATCGAGCAGCAGCTCCGCCAGGGCGACGATCTGAGGCGTGCGGTCCCAGCCGTCTGAGCAGTGGACTAACACTGGCCGACCTTCCCGAGCCACTGCTGATGCCACAGCCACTGCCGCCCGCATCAGACCTGCCATGTGATGCAGCCACCGACTCCCCTCGAGCAACGACAGCCAACTGCAATGATTTGGAAGTTGACATCCTCAGAGTCAAACAGATATCTTTTTTTTGTTCTTTCATCCACATCCGTATTTGTTTCAAAACACATTCACATCTACATCTCAACTTTACTAACCACCATCCATAAAATGGTATTTTGACTAATTTTCATCAGAATACTGGTACTACAATTAAATTGTCACTTTTTTTAAGCAAACATGCAATCATTTGTTTGCAAATCAAATGATTCCATTATTTTAGTCCTTCTTCACTAGTATGAGCCTAATTGGAAAAATTACAGTTGATTTACACAATTTTAAAACTATTATGGCTTTTAAAGAATACTATTATGTAATATCTTCTCAATCTCTTTAAAGCAATCACTCACTTTGGTGTATCTGGAGCAGCAGCACAGAGTTGTCGCACTGCATGGAAACTCTTGCGCACACTGTGGATGTTGGCCAGTGACATGAAGGTAATGTCGCAACTGGGGTAGTATTCCTGACACTCACAACCCCCTCCCCGGGCTCTGTTCGCAACAGCTGTTGTGTATGATCGAGCATCCATGATCAGCACTTTCTAAAACACCATCAAACATTCTGTCACAACTTGATCACAACATGATTATGGAAATAAAAAATCAATAATTATATACCGAATTCTGTCAAGGACTAATAATTTCTCATGGTTATAAACAACAATCATGTACACTAAGACCATTAATGACAATAATTGAAGACTTGAGAGCAAGAACCTGATCACTATTGGCTAAAATCAGATTTTCGTATACACAAAGCTCCCCCTACTCAGCAGACTTTCTACTCTTTGAGTGCAAGAACTAGATAATAGCCGGGCTTATCCACTCCAACAAAACCTAAGAAGTGGACTAAAACTGAAGAGCAATGGGAAAGAAATATAAGCAACAAGAAAAAGACAGTGAAACATTTTACTTGAGCCAAATAAGGGTTTACAACTTAGGTTTCTATTCATATAAGCCCGAATGTAATAAAATGTTTATTTATGATGAAACTAAAGACAAGGGAGATTCAAATGAATCTGAATGACTTCTTAAACATTATACACACATACATACCTCAAAAGTTTAAAACTCTACATATTGTCAGTGACAACTATGCACAAGAATATTTGATAGCCAATTTTTTAAGCTCATTCTCTGCATCAGGAAAATTTCTTCAAATACATCACCACTGCCCTGAACGTGGACATTCTTTTATGCTGTGTAATTGGACCTTTGCTCAAATAGGGAAAATCAAATAGAAAAGAGGATATGTCTTTGTCCCAGGAAAATTGTATGATATGGTAGTATAAACTTCTAGAAAATTATTTATATTTACGCACGCACACACACACGCGCACACACACACACACACACATCTGTGATTTATAATTATGATTTAATTATAACATTGTTACTCAACGAAAGTGATTTACTATGTAACTCTATTATACTGTTGTAAGATATGTGTACACCAGCTTGTTGCTGCCATCATTAATAATAAATAATAAAATAAAATAATTTAAAGCACATGTACTCATCAAAACATTAATGTAAAGAAATTGCTGCTGATGTAAATATTAACAACATGAGAGACAAGTAAAAAAAAATTACATTTTTGTAATTTTTCAAAAAACAAAAAGATAAAGCAATATTGCGTTTATGTCATCTCAAAGTGCATTTAGCACTATCCCTACCAAAAGTTAAAAATTTAGGGACGTTTTTGAAAAAATCTCCAAAACTTTTTTTTTTTAAATTGCAAGTATTGCATGCTATACTGCGCAAAAACCACTCAAATTTTCAAAAAAATGTGCATGAAGTTAAAGAGTGAACTCACTATGGAGAACAAATTTTATTTCCAGGAAAAATCACTACCTTCAATTTTGTAGTTTTAGGAAGAAAGAACCCCAACATTTTGAAGAATGTTTTTCAAAATCTCAATGTTTTGGCTAGAGCCAGATGGACAGGGGTTCCTTCAATTTGGAAAAAATCCTACACATGGTTTAGGTGGGCTCTTTCAAAAGAACCATTTTTTTTTGGTATCAGACTCCAAAACGTGTATTTCCATTGAAATCTCGAAATCGATTTTCCACAGCATTACATAACTTTTCCTATGCTAGGTATATTACTCCATATATACGTACATATAGTAAAAATTTGGTAGTACGAAAGTAAAAATTTGGTAGGGAAATATTGCCCTCAAATGTCAACATAAGAGTTAAGATACCCTAAAAAAAAAACTTGTGCAGCTGTGTGACTGAAAGAAAAGTATTAGAAAAAAGATTGTTTGACCCTTGCATGAAGAGGAAGACATAGCTTTATGCACAGACAAGTTAGAAATCAAGAGCCAAAACACTATTTGAGAGCAAAAGTAGTGGGAGAAAATTAAGAATCAGGGAGAAATGGGGGGAAGGGAGGAGAGGAATGAGTCAATAATAATGGATTTAAAAAAAATCTAAACTCGCAAAGCTAAATATCTTGATACACCAAAAGACAGCCCCGCCCCCATTTAATATATTAAAAGGATATCCCATTACAATTTCCATAAATTGTATTATTTACTGTGGGCTTTCAACATATGCAATAAAGACATGTTGCCTTAGTGATGAAATGTCACTAAACAACATATGCAGGCACACCACAATTTTTCGCAGGGAGAAAGGCACAGCCTCTTGTAAATATGAAGTTAAGTGGTACAAGTGGCTTATTCATAACTGGAAAATTTAAAAGCTCCCTCTCTCTGAAGACTTGGAACCAATTGGATCAAGGTGAGGTACATGTTAGTCTTCACATAAATGAGATCATTTTAGCGAACTATGCTTTAATTAAGGAATATTATAACATCAAGTTTCAGAATAGTGATAATATTGTTAATTTCCATTTGAGAATTACATAAAGATGTTAAATGTCATGCTGATAATTTTGAATAGATTAGTATTCAAATAGTTGTCAGAAAAGCAGATTTGCAGACATTGTGTAGGCGGAAGAAAATGCAGATTATTTGGAAGTGAGATTGCAATCAATCAAAGTACATTTTTCAAGAAAAGGTTTCCAGAAAACTGTTGCTTTGTATGAACAGCCCATCAGCATACGACCATGTAGTCATATGTTGATACTAGCTGGCATAATAGTAACATTTGAATTGAGAAATTATTATTACATTGTGATATTATCCATGAGCAAAGCAGGGCAATTAATATTACAAAAATTTATTTTCAGTTTCCTTTTTGAAGAACCCAGAACAAAAAGGCTTGATGTCTGCAGTCTACAATATTGAAATTAATTTTTTCAAGAGAAGAACATTTGAATTTTTATGTTTTGTTGTTCAATAGTTGTTTACTTTTATATGGTGTTTGATTTGATTCAAAAGACTGGAAATGTAACTCATTTTTGTTTCCATTTTAGATTGCTTAATTAGATTTTTTTTTCAATTCTCTTAATTTATTCATTACAATAAAGAAGTGTCTGAAGTGGTATTTTCTCATTCAAAAACTTACAGGATTTCTATGTGAATTTCTTTGTCCTATTGTCCATGTTTTCAGAAAGAAGTCAGCATTTATTAACTCAAGTCTATTGTTGCAATAATGAGCCTTTGCTTTTAATTTATTTTATGCAAGTGTATCTATTTTCATATTTCAGATGTAATGCAATACACCAAATGATAACAAAGCAAGATAAAAGAACAAATTTGAAAAACAAACTAAACTTTACAATCTGAATATTGTATTTCATATCACAATCACATTTATTGTTTTTTATTAACTGTCTGTCCATGTAAACACTTGTTCTTGAGGGAACACACTATTTTCAAAGCATTCACTGAAGTTCATCAAGTTATCTTCATATTTAGAGGTAAATTACTAACAAATTGACTCTAAAGAACATCTTATGCACAGAAAGAAGGAACTTAAAACATCATCCATTTTAAGCAGATAAAAAATGAAAAGCTGATATCCGCACCCAGGTTACAATCAAAATAATTTTTAAAATACAAAAGAATTTCAAAAATTTAAAGTTTCTTTACATTTTATTGTTAATAACAATTACAGTACAACAAGCAAAGGATTCCATCACTTGCAATCCATTCATTTGTGTCATTTCGCATACTTAAACCTTTCCTCTTTGCAGCTCATGTATTCTACTAGTTACAGATCTCAACTCTTAATAAAAGTTCTAAAATTTACCTTATTTTCGTGTTGCATTGAGTTTGAAGAAGTGGACACAGGATCACCCAAGGCAGGACTCAATTCATTTACATTGGCAGGATATTCAGTACAGTCTGTGGGCAGTGGCTCCATCATAGTTCTGGACCCTCGATCAAATGCACAAGCATCTGCAATGGCCTTCAGAAGATCTTCATCTTCAGAGGAACGCCAACCCAACCATCCAACCTCTGGTTGTGAACACCGAGCAATTACAGCTCCATTACCTCTATGTCTGAAATCAAGGCAAAATATTGAACCACAGCAAAGCAACCCTAAAATACACACTCAAGAAAAATGTACAAAATATAGTTTCAAAACAGTTTCTAATAATTTACAGCTCTCTTCTAATGGTTTACTGAACTAAAACTACAATAACAATTAATACAGGAACCTAAATTGTATTGAACTTTCTATCGTTTCTAGCCTGAAAGATGGGTTCATTTGTTAAAAAAACAAACAAACTCCATGCTACAGTGGAGAACAGGTTTCACACTGAGATACATCAAATGTATCTTCTTTTTTAAGCAGGAAAACGTATATCATATGCTCCATTTGATTTGATATTACTTGCTCAAATTTATTTGTTGGTATTATAGCAGAAATAGGTATCCACTTTAATACAGAAGAAATTCAACTGATCAATTTTCATCATTTTATACTTCTTACCTACTGCCCAAATATGCAAAAATCAAACTTCAACAATCTAAAATACAATAATTTTACCAAAAACAAATGTTAGAATACTTTTTGTAATAATTACATAATTTGGTTATGTGACATACTTTGAACCTCGTAACAAACACACGTCATATTGACAACAAGTTATCTGATGAAAGAATCTTAAGAAAGACTACATAATTTAATAATTCTTATTTTTCCAGATCTTGAATTAATAATAAACAAAACATTTTGCCACCTGTTATATGCTGTGCTTTTATATCTTTCACAATTTAATATAACTTGTGGTATTAAATATTTAAGATTCTAGACAACTACCCAATCTGATTACTGTTGTCAGTTTAAGCAAATTGTATAATAATAATAATAATTTTTTATTGTCATTAAGCTTTGTACAGCAATAGGCAACGTCACAGTTTAAG